AGAGGCCATGATGCCTGTAGTCCCAAGCCTGCCCACCAGTGATGTATCCACCCTGGCTTTGGGGTGCCTCATTGTCTCCCTTCTTCTGTTTGTCTGTGCATTCTTTTGCTATCCCTATCGCCGCTGGATCTCCCCTCCTCGTGAACCAAATCCTCGTGAACCGCACCCCTATGTCGAGGTCAGACCCCGACAATAGGTCTTTATAAAACTGTTGTTGTTGTTAAGTGCCGTCAAGTCTGTTTCCACCCATAGCGACCCTGAACAGGGTTTCCGAGGCTGTAAATCTTTATGGGAGCAGATTGCCTCATCTTTCTCCCGTGGAGCGGCTGGTAGTTTCGAACGGCTGACCTTGAGGGTCTCAGCCCAATTCGTAACCACTACACTACCAGAGCTCCTTTTTATAAAACTAGGTATCGCTTATTTTAAGGACATAAGAAGTTTAAACAAATTATTCAGATTATAATTAAATAAAAGGTGCCATCGAGTGATTACCAACTCATAGCGACCCGATGTACACCAGAACGAAACAACCTCACAATTGTCGCCACTCTTGAGCCCATTGATACTGCCACTTTGGCCTCTTTGCCTTGATCTTTGTTCTGGGAAAGGGAATTCTGGGGACTGCATCCCAAGACTCCCTTGACCTCTGACCTCTAGTGAAAGTCAAACACAGGAGACAGCAGCAGGAAACCAAGAGGTAGGATTACATTTATCCAGTTGTCTTTAGAACTCTACACTTTAGAACCTTTTAGTTCCACCATCCTGGAGTCCTGCTGTGGCGCTATGGGTTAATGCGATAGACAGCAAAGTTGGTTTGACCAACAAGGTCAGCAGTTAAAGCTCACCAGCTTCTCCTTGGTAACTCTATACAGAGTTGCTATGGAACTAAACCAACTCAATGGTACTTAACAACAGTTCCACCATCCTGGAGGAATAACAGCTTGAGTGCTACATAATCCCTTGTTATTTTCCATAACGTCTTGCAGAAAGTCCCTTCAGTAAAGTATAAAATCTCTACGGTGAAATCCTATTGAGTATGCTACCTCTACTCTTTTGCAATCCAACTTTAGTAGATTGCATACAATACCTCAGATAGCATGTTGTTGTAGTGGTTGTTAGGTGCCATTGAGTCAGTACCAACTGATAGTGATCCTATGCACAACAGAACGAAACACTGCCCGGTCCTGTGCCAACCTCATACTTGTTGCAATGCTTGAGCCCATTGATGCTGCCACTTGCCCAATCCATCTCATTGGGGGTCTTCCTCTTTCTCTCTGACCCTCCACCTTACCAAACATGATATCCTTCTCCAGAGACTGGTCCCTCCTGACAATATGTCCAAATTATGAGAGACGAAGTTTGGCAATCCTGGCCCCCAAGGCACATTGTGGCTGCACTTCTTTCAACACAGATCTGTGTGTTCTTTTGGCGGCCCATGGCACTTTCAGTATTCTCCTTCAACATCTAACTCAAAAGCATCAATTCTTCTATGGTCTTCCTTATTTACTGTCCAGCTTTCACATGCATATAAGGTAATTGAAAATACCCTGGCTTGGGTCACGTGCACCTTAGTGTTCAAGCTGACATCTTTGCTCTTCAACACTTTAAAAAGGTCTTGTGCAACAGATAGTGGTTATGAATCAGGCTGCTAATCTCAGGGTCAGCAGTTTGAAACTATCAGCTGTTCTGCAGTAGAAAGATGAGTCTTTCTGCTCCCTTAAAGATTTACAGCCTTGGAAACCCTATGCAGGGTTGCTATGAGTCAGAACTGACTCCACGGCACACAACCACCACCACCAGGCATAAATGAAAATCTCAGCAACAACAAAAAGATAATAATGGATCATGGGAACTCTTAAATAAAAAAGCAAAATGGGCCACCATGAGTCAGAATTTACTTGATAGCAACCAGAAAACATCTACCTTTAATATTCTATCAATCTAACCAGGAGTCCTGCTGTAGCACTGTGGGTTAATGCGCTGGACTGAAAGGTGGGTTTGAACTACAAAGTTGGTGGTCCAAGTTCACCAGTCACTCCTCAGAAATCATACACATGGTTGCTAAGAGTTGGAACTGGCTCAACGGCATTTAACAACAAGAAGAATCTAAAAATAGAGATAGAGATATTTTGTTGTTGTTAAGTGCCATCGAGTCAGTTCTGACTCATAGTGACTTTTTATAGGGTTTCCAAGAAGCAGTTGGTGAGTTTGAACTGCCAACTTTACAGTTCAAACCAACCTTGTGGAAGAGTGCTTATTCTACAGTGCCAAACCAGGACTCCAGATGTAGTCAAATATAGGTAGAGTTAGATGGTACATATAGTTTAGATACAACTGTGGAGACAGAATCGCAGATACTAAAGAAATAAAATATGGATAATTATCTCTTTTCTCTTGGTGGCAGTTTTTGAGCCTTTATTCGGTCATTGGTACCACTCCTAGAAAATGAATAAAGGAAAACAAATTGAATAAAGGGAATAAAATGAGATTACTCTAATTCCTTTTGCTTAATTCCTTTTGCTTTTTGTTCCTCTATAAAGTATGATTTCACTAGAAAGAATAAGATTTATATTCATAAAGTAGAGATGATGAAGATAAAAAGTATCTTTATGAAGTAAATATTAAAGATATATGGTACACAGAGTAAGTAAAAAGTATTTATACAAAGTCATAGAAACCTTTATTAAGCAAAACTGTCACCAATATTTATCAATATAGCCTCCATCTAGATCTATACACTTCTGAAGGCTGTTTCTAACACTTCCTTGAAGAATTTTGTGTTCTTTGATTCCCGGGGCATCCTTGAGGGAGGTAGTTGTGTTCCTATTCAGAGTTCTTTGAGTTTGAGGAACAAAACGAAGTCTGAAGTGGCAAGATCAGGGCTGTAGTGTGAATGGGGTAACATTTCCAAATAAAATTCTCATAGGACAGTCCTTGTTACTCTTAAAGAACGAGCAGGTGCATTGTAATGGGAAAAAAAAAAAATCCTTGGCACAAATTTTTTGGCCTTTTTCTTACCAATGCAGTTTTCTATTTTCTTAAAACTTCATAATATGTCCCTGTAATTGTAAAATATCCTTTGAGGAAATCTGTTAAAATTAACTTTTGGGATCCCCACAAATAGTCATCATAACTTTCTGAGCTTAAATTTCATTATGGCAACAGTTCCCCTTGGAAGCCACTGTCTTGATTGATTTTTTGTTTGTTTTTGTGTGTTTTGCTTTGAATGCATCCTAAAGAGACTAAGATAGGTGTATTATGGAGAGCACTTTTCTGCAGCTACCTACTGATCACAGAGACATGTTTAAACATGCTTTGCTTGGAGGCTATGAATGAATGAGAGGCCAAGTAGCAATACTTTTTGACTTACCTCTGTATGTATGTGTGAGATTTTTTTAGGAATAATAAATATGATATTTTGTTCTGTCTACAACCCCTCAAAAGAGAATTTATTGAATATGCCTATTTGCAATTATTTATACCATATAATTCTCTTTGTGTTACCAAATTGTGTTTTGAAAATACATTGAGTTAGACTTTGATATAGCTTAATAAATAAAGTTCTTACATGAAGATCCTTCAGGTTCTTAAAGTCCCCATCTTTGATTTCCGTTATCTTGTTGTTTTGCAAGTCCAACAATGTTGTGTCAGGGGGAAGATCCTTTGGCACTTGGTCCAGTCCTAGTAAGAGATAAACAGCAATGTAAAGTCAGTAAAGAAACCAGAAATATGACTACAGAATCACAAAGGATTTGTTTATAAAGGAATCAATGGTACAATTATAGCATGACCAGTAACATATTTTTTCCACTTGTAAGAGTTACACCAATTGTATTTTAAAACATTTATATTTTCTTACCTAGTCAAATCCACTACTCATCTGTCAGTCTGTGACAGCTTATGAGGTGCTGTGATCCTGGAAGCTATGCCATGGGTATTTTAAATACCAGCAGGGTCACCCATGGTGGACAGGTTTCAGATGAGCTTCCAGACAAATACAGACTAGGAAGAAGGAGGAATGAACTACTTCCAAATATTTAGTCACTGAAAACTATGAATAGCAGAGAAACACTGTGAGATACAGTGCCATAAAATAATCATCTCAGATTGGAAGGCACTCAAAATGTGACTGGGGAAGAGCTGCCTCCTCAAAGTAGAGTTGACTGTGATGAAGTGAATGGAGTAAAGCCTGCAGGACCTT